ACATGCCTGCATCCTTCTCATGTTACTCTGCCTTCCCATCTGTAACTGTGGATGAACTGTCTACAAATATGTCAGATTCCATCCCCTCTCATTTAGTCAGGAACATCACTTTATCAGTTGTCCCATCTCTCTTCTGAATTACTGGTTTTTCCTCCGTCAGATCATTCTGATCAGCATATAAATATCCTATTATTTCTTTTATTGGGGAAAAAAAAACAACAACCCAGCTCTTGAAACTTACACTCCATTCTGGCTAAAATCCATTTCTCTGCTCCTTTTCACAGCAGAACTGGAAAGGATTATCTATATGTGCTGTCTCCACCTTGTCTCCTGCTGTTTTCTCTGAAACCACTCCTGTCTGATTTTTGTTCACCACCACTCCATTGAAACTGCTCTCTTTATCTCTATGTTGCCAAGGTCAGTGGTCAGTTCTCAGTCCTCATCTTAATGTTTTGCTAACATTTGACCTAGCCATTTACACCCTCTTTGAAATACTTATTTCACTTGACTTCTCTTTTGGTGCTCTTTTTACCTCACTGGTTGCTTCTTCTTGGTCTCTTTTCTTGGTTACTGCTCATCTCTGATTGCTATGTTGGGAGAAGGCCCTAGGGTCAGCCCATAGATCTCTTCCCTTTCTTCTGTGCTGGTATGGTTTATTCTCAGTTTTAATACCATTTATATGTTCATGGCTACCCACACTTGTATCTCTAACCTGGACCTCTCCTGTATGTACACATACCTGTCTACCGCCTGGACATATCTACCTAGAGATCTAATGGCTAGTTCCTTTGCTTTTTTTCAGGTATCCGTGCCCGAATGCCACCTTACTGGAGAGGTCCTCCCTGCCCCCCCCCCCAATATAAGTTGAAGCAATTCCTCCCCTACTTATCCTTCCTTTTTAAATTGTTTTCTGGAGCATTATATAGTATATTATTTATAGTCTTTTGTTTCTTATTGGTACATAGCTTCATGAGGCTAGTCTTCTTACCTTTTGGTCAGTGCCAACAACAGTGCCTGGCACATAATAAACATTGATTATGTGTCTAAAGATTGAATGAGTAAGTGAATAAATGCTGGCTTTCTTTTAGTATTTCATTTTGCCATGCACCCCCCTTTCCTGGGAACTTCGTACACTCAGTTCCCTCACTTCTTCCATCCCTTCCCTTAGGCAGCTTTCAATTCTATAAGCATCACTTCTCATGAAAATTTCCCTGTCCGGATTGCAGTCTCTGTGTAAGCTCTCATGCCCATGGACTTCTTCATTGTAGTGATCATTTTCAGTTTTCCATTAGTGCTGTCTTTGATAACATTTGTCCCCTTCCTCTTCCCTCCTTCCCTTCAAGCTGTTTTTGCTCATTGTTAATACTAAGGGCCTACCACAGAGTCAGATTCTCAATAAATAAGTGTTGAAAGAGTAAATGAGTGAGCAAATTACTTTTACATGCCATAGAAGTAATGATCGATTTGAACTACTAAAGATAACATTTGCTTAAAAAGAAAACAGGATTAAAATTCAATAATTTCCATAATTTTAGGTTGAAATAGAATCTAGTAGGCATAAATCTAGTTGAGATTGCTGCCTTTGGCTAAGAAATTTGTGCTGTAGCCTCCCCCTATTAATAGCAATCCTTTCAGTGAAATCCATCCTCATCATATGGCTGTCTAGCCTTTGCCAGAACACATCTAGTGCTCTTCATTCTAACTCCAGAATGGGTTGGCTAGAAACTCACTCTTTGGTTTTGGTGTTTCCCTCTTTCACATGGCAGCTTTTCATATATTTAGAGAGTTATCATCCCTTCAGTGTCTTGCCCATTATTAAGCAAAATAGTCTTACTTTCTTCTGTTGAGATTTTCAGCTCTTTTGGGCCCATGGAATGCTCATGAAGGATTTTATGGAGAGTGTATTCCAACATAGAGCCTCTCTCTCTCTCTTTTTTAAGATTTTATTTATTTGCGAGAGAGAGCATGGGAGAGAGCACAAGCAGGGGGAGCAGCAGAGGGAGAGGGAGAAGCAGAGCCTGATGCGGGGCTCGATCCCCAGACCCTGAGACCATGACCTGAGCCGAAGGCAAATGCTTAAGCAGCTGAGCCACCCAAGCGCCCCAGACCCTGTCTTCTGTAACGACTACCAAAGATTCCTTTAAAAAGATTTTATAAGAAAGGCTCTTGTACTATGTATTGGGTACTTCGGATGGCAATTTCCACTGTATCAATAGAAAAGTACGTTTTATTTTTTTATTTTAATTTTAATTTTTAAAATTATTTGAGAGAGAGATAAAGAGCACAAGCGGGGGTGGTAGGGGGAGGAGAGGCAGAGGAAGAAATAGACTCCCCACTGAGCAGGGAGCCCAACTTGGGGCTGGACCTCAGGACCCTGGGATCATGACCCAAGCTGAAGGCAGCTGCTTAACCGACTGAGCCACCCAGGTGCCTCAAAAAGTACATTTTATTTATTTATTTTTTAAAAAGATTTTATTTATTTATTTGACAGAAAGAAACACAAGCAGGGGGAGTGGGAGAGGGAGAAGCAGGCCTCCCGCCGAGCAGAGAGCCCCATGCGGGGCTCCATCCCAGAACCCCAGGATCATGACCGGAGCCGAAGGCAGACGTTTAACTGACTGAGCCGCCCAGGCGCCCCCCAAAAGTACATTTTAATAAAAAATTATTGCAAGGGCGCCTGGGTGGCTCAGTTGGTTAAGCGACTGCCTTCAGCTCAGGTCATGATCCTGGAGTTCCTGGATCGAGTCCCGCATCGGGCTCCCTGCTTGGCGGGGAGTCTGCTTCTCCCTCTGACCCTCCCCCCTCTCATGTGCTCTCTCTCTCCTCTCATCCTCTCTCTCAAATAAATAAATAAATAAAAAATCTTTAAAAAAAAAATTATTGCAAATCTAACTTTACTCACTTTGGTATTTAGTTCTGTATTGAGCTAACTGTACTGGTGAATATACATGTAAATATTAAATACTTTTTGGAGAAAAATAGCTATTTCAGCCCTTATTACTAGTGGGTCAAGTGCTTTATTAATGGATGTAATCTTCACACAGCTTTGGCACTATTATCCCTATTTTATATGTGAAGAAACTGAGGTATAGGAATCTTAAAAATAAAAGATTTTATTAATCTCATTGTCACTGTAGGTAATGTAAATATATTTGTTCCTTCTTAATTTTGCTTTAAGATCTCACAAGATAAAATAAGCATGTCACACTGGTTTAGTTCTCATTGTTTTTAAGTGTCAAGTATTTTTGCAGCGTTTCTCCAGTCTTTAATTTAGGGATGGTTCAGTTAAATCTTTCCCGTCCTACTTTGTTTTATAGGTTTGAAATAAGGACATTCAGTGGCTCTAAAATGTGTACAACTTTTATGAAATTTCCAATATTTTCTTTAAGGTTTTGCATTTCTTAATTACGTAAAAATATGCTTTAAATAATTTCAAGATTTTGTTTTGTATGAAAGCTAATCTGTCTCCAGTTTCCTCAGAAATTTTGGCTACTAATATCTTCTCATTAAAAGTAGAAAAATACTTCCACTTCTTGATTTAAAGTACTTAAACATTCAGGATGCCTTTTAAATAGATGAGATTAGAAAACATGTATGTATTTGATTGTTCCAGAACTCAGTTACACTGAGGGAGTACTTTTTTTCCCACAGCTATTTACTATTTTTTGGAGTAGTGTAAAGATTTTTCTATGTACACAGACCTCTGTAATGACAGCATATAGGTCTCTATTATTGTCTTAGAATAATAGAAACTTAAGGTTATTCTTCTTTGATCAATCTCATTTTTTTTTAAAGATTTTATTTGTTTATTTGACAGAGAGACACAGGGAGAGAGGGAACAGAAGCAGGGGGAGTGGGGAAAGGGAGAAGCAGGCTCCTCGCTGAGCAGGGAGCCTGATGCAGGACTCGATCCCAGGACCCTGGGATCATGACCTGAGCCGAAGGCAGACGCTTAAGGACTGAGCCACCCAAGTGTCCCAATCTGATTTGTTGTCTTAAAGAAGTGTTGTGTCAAAAAAATTTTAGGGAAATATTTTGTCCTAAAAATGTTGATTATCCAAGGTTGAAAACATTCCATGTGAAAGCTTAAAGACGTGTGTCTTGGCAGTAAGATGATCACTTCAGTTTCAGTATTATTTTACAGTTTCAGTATTTTAATCAGTGGATGTGTAGGAACTGAAATGTTTTCTTCGCTAAAGTTTCTATGGGGAGATTTTGTCTTCCTTTCTCCTACTTATTCAGAACTTTTTTTTTTTTTGTCTATAAAGATTAATCTGTCAGCTTAGGACCCAGGACAAGTCTGGATTGGGGATTTATTTCTGGAAGTGTGTTAAATAAACACTTTTCTGTAGATACTTGCTTATGAAGCTGCATCAAGTAGATACCATGGTTACCACCATTTCTGTGATTTACTCTGCTTGTTCACAGCCCCTTCCCTAACTGTGCATCCTCTGCTTGTGTGGTCTCTCTTTTGCTCTTTGTTTTCTTGCTAGTTTGGGAATGGGTTTTTAAATCTGACTTGCTGTCCTGGTGCTTATGTAGAGTAGTCAGGTGTTTTTCTGGACAGTTAAGAAATGGGCTAACCAACAGGAGTAGTTAAAATGGAGAAAGCTTAGCTGTTCTCTGTCTTTCCTGTTAAACATAATGAGTTTAGAGGATTATGACTACATGTAATTCTCAGGATCTGCTAGACGGGACATCTGTTTTACTTTTTACTCATTACATTGCTGTAGAAATAGCATCTTTTTTATTTAATGTGGAAATTATTTTGTGTTCTAGCTGGCACTGGTGGCTTGATTTTTCAGATGTGCTTTCTGGAGAATAGTACATGGTTAGTAGAAAATTATCTTACGAGGACTAGATACTTACTATTATTCTCAAAATGTTTGTTTTCTAACTGGAAACTAAGTTTCTGTGAACATTTGGATTTTCATTTATTCTAGACTGCATTCCAAGTTTTTGGTATATTCAAATATTTTTCCTTTGGTTTTATTTACTAGGTTGCACGTTTTCAAAAAATTCCTAATGGTGAAAATGAGACAATGATTCCTGTATTGACATCAAAAAAAGCAAGTGAATTACCCGTCAGTGAAGTTGCAAGCATTCTCCAAGTAAGTGCTTGGTGGAGAGGAAGGGAATAGATAGTAAAATCAGTCATTTAGACATAGGTAAATGCCATCCAATAGAATTTTCTCTGATGACGTAGGTGTGGTGTTCTGCATTGTTCAGTACAGTAGCCAATAGTTAAATATGACTACTGAGTACTTGCAGTGTGGATATTTAGGTAAGGAACTGAATTTACTTTAAATGGCTGCACGTGGCTAGTGTTTACCTGATTGGACAGTGCAACTCTAGGTCATTAGCATTGCGAGGAGCTATTAATGCTGTGTAAGGATTAGTTGGATTAATAAAATAATCAATTTATTAACATAAGTAGAGTTAGGAGTTTATCATTTTTTTGTTAAGTGTTTTCTAAAGTAAAAGGTAAGTACAAAATAGGGACTGCAAGTAAACTTTAATTGCTTATGAAATTTAATCTCTTCCTAGTTTTAAAAGCACAATCTAATGTAACATGAATACTTTTTTTATTTTTCCTTCAAAATTCCTGTATTTTAATGATGGCATTAAAAACATTGGATATATATTTTTTGAGGGTTTTTGGTTGTATTTATATTGTTTTAAAACCATTTATTTTAAATATTTTTAAGTGTTGCGAGACTGTTATCAAACTCTATTGTAAAGCTTTTGGCCAGAGAAACTGATTATTTTAGGGATGCAGGTAATTTCATTCTTAAATGATAGTTATGATAATAAATCATGAGAGACAATGACTCTTCTAAGTTTCCCAGACCCAATTCCAACATGGTTGGGGGGGGCTTCTCCCACACATAACACCAAGCAATTCTTGGACACCCAATAATTTAACTCAATTCCAACAATATCTACCCAGAGATAACATCAGATTCCATAGGTTAAGGGTTCAGCCCTAGAAGACTGCCTCTTTCTCCTGACTTCAGAAGTCAGTCACAGGCCCCATGCTGTTACCTATGTTTCTGACCAACCCACTACAGATTAGAGGTTCCTCCTTAGGTTCATTTAATTTTCTAGAGTGGCTCACAGAGCTCAGGGAAACACTTAACGTTTACCAGTTTATTAAAGAGATATGATAAAGGATATAAATCAACAGCCAGATGAAGAGATACATAGGTCTGGGATGGGGAAAAGGCCTAGAACTTCCATGCCCTTTCCAGGTATACCATTCTCCCTAGTCTCCATGTTTTCACCAGCCTGGAAGCTCTCCAAACCCAGTTCTTTTGGGCTTTTATGGCGGCTTCATTGCTTAGTCATGGTTGACTGAGTCATTTGCCTTTGGCTGATTCAGCCTTCATCCTGTCTCTCTCCTCCTCAGAGGTGAGGGAGAATGGTGGTGGGGGTGCTGGGACTGAACCCTGTAATCATGTGGTTGGTCCTCTTGTCTATCAGCTGCTGCTCTTGGCGTGGGGTCCAAAAGTCACCTTCATTCACACAACAAAAGACACAGTTATTGCCATCATCCCAGGAAATTCCAAGGGTTTTAGGAGCTGTGAGCCAGCAACCCTGGAGGAAGACCATATACAAATGAGGAATATGTTTTGGGCATCTGAATGACCAGATAACATACACATTTCTTATAAATCACAATACCGCAGTGACTGAAGAATGTAGGTGGTGTTCATAGAACATAATTATTTTTAGTAATTTAGGAACCACAAATTATCTGCTTGAAAGAATTACACAGTCCAAGAGTAAAAAGTAATAATACCAATCTGAGGGTTTTGATAGGCTCACAGAACAAAAAAGGCAGTTATGGTCCATTGAATGTTCTTTTGGAGAAACTAATTTTAGAAAATAAAACAATGAAAGCAAAGAAAGCTAATTAAAATGTACTGATACTTTGCTTTCTGTAAGTCATGTGGCTGGTTTTTGTTTATTTCTCTCTTCCCAGAGAAAATCATAAGTTTTTTGTTTATTAAACTATACCTTATTGCTTACATTTTTTAAAAAAATGTGCTAATATAATATTGTATGTTACCTATACATCAATAATTTTTTTTTAATCAAGGTGTAATTTACATGAAATATAATGTACCCATATTAACGGAACAGTTTGCATTTTGGCAAATGTTAACCACCATCAGAATTAAGATATGGAACACTTTCATCACTACTAGAAGTTCCCTCAGGTCCCTCTGCAGTTAATCTAAGTAGATTTTTGCTCTTGGCCCCAAGCAACCACTGATAATGCTTTTTACAACAGATTAGTTTTGACTGTTGTATAAGTTCTTATAAATATGAACATACAATATGTACCCTTGTGTTTTTCTTCTTTTGTTCTCTGCTAACATTTTTAGTAACTTTTATATGTAAAATCTAATAGGCTGATCTTCAGAATGGTCTAAACAAATGTGAAGTAAGTCATAGGCGAGCCTTCCATGGCTGGAATGAGTTTGATATCAGTGAAGATGAGCCACTATGGAAGAAGTATATTTCTCAGGTGAAATATTTTTATTTCCTCCTCTGCTGTGTAATTTACATGTATTTTTGTTAGTGTAGTTGTTTACTTTTGTGAAGTTTTTTTTTGTTTTGTAGAGAAAGGAAATAATTTGTAAAAAATGTTTTTTACCTACATTTTTTCTGTTAGAGTTTGCTGTTAAGTTGCAACTTCTCTAATTTTTAGTGTGCAAATCTTTACGAATGTATAACATGGAATAATACTGTGAACAGTAGTTTCCTTTACAGATGTCTACCTTACATTTGTCTTATAAGGAATGCTAATATTTTTAAAAAAATTTTTTATTGTTATGTTAATCCCCATACATTACATGGGAATGCTAATATTTTTTAAAGTAATATAGCCAGCTTAGAAAATGTAGTAAAAATAAGGTAGTTTGAATCCAGACTGCTTGAGTACAAATTCTATCTTTATTTCTTACTAGCTCTATGATCTTTATTATCCTTTTAGTCTTATCTATAACATGAGGATAATAATTTTAGGAGATAGTAAGCTATCAGTAAACAATAGCTATTTTTAATTATATTTTGTCAATATCCTAATCTTTTCAGAAAGACTTATTGTAGGATTTTCTTTTAACTTGATAACAAGTATGTTAATGTGAAAAGTTCCAAGAATCCTATGGCCAGTTTTCACCTAGTAGGGTTAGTTTGCCAAACAAGTTCTTTTTATTTTTACTTATTTATTTTTTAACAAGTTCTTTTTAGTAAAGAAAACTTTTAAGCCTTCTAAGTACAGGTTTGTTTTTTTTTTTTAAGATCTATGTGTAACTTTTCTAAAGGGCCTTAATGGGCCCAAATTTATCAGTCTTAATTTTGCAGATGAGTTTGTTTAAAGTGGAAAAACTGAATTTTTAGAGATTAAAAGAACCTTGTGTGTATCTGTCATGTGTTTGTAGAATATTTTTTATATGCATGTTTGTATTCTCACATTTACCACATATCCACATTACCTAAAACTTTAGGAAGTTCATTCTAGATTTATAAACTATAGTGATTGGACTTATTATTAGGCAGTATAATTTAATGTTTTACTTTCTTACTCCTGTTTCAAAGCTTGACTACCTGTATCATGGGATTGCTGTGAGAATGAAACAGAAGTAGTGTAATGTAGTTAAGCACAAGCAGCAATTAACAGTAAATATCAATTGTTAATCATAAAGCACTGGGTGACTCTGTTCCTCTACAAAGAACACTGAGTTTGTTGCTTTGCAAACGTTTGTCTGGAGCCTGCCATTAATCAAGTGGCGTGCTTGCTACTTTGGCACAGCTATTTTAGAGGTCGTAATAAAAAAAGCCCATGGGTCTTGTCCTCAAATTGTGATGATAAGAGCTAACATTTGAAGTGGCTTTTATGGTTCACACAGTGTTTTAATATACATTCTTAGTTAATCTTTATCACAGTCTTGGTATAAGGTAGTATTTTCCCAGATGAGGAACTTGGGTCATACACAAGTGACAGGAGCTGGATTTAAACCCAGGTACTCTGACTCAGTCAAGTGTGTGTGGTTTGTCAACCTTGAACCACATTGCAGTTGTAGTTTTAGTTTGTTAGAGTAGTGATTTTCGATCTTCTAGGTGTTAGAATCATTTGGGGAGTGCTTAAAAAATGCTGAAGCCTGGGCCCTATGCCCGGAGATTCTGATTTAATTGGTCTGGTGTGAACGTAGGCATATTTTAGAAGTTCTTCACATGATTCTGATGTGAAGCAGGGTCGGAACCCCTGTGCCAGGGAATGGAGCCATATAGGGAGGGGGAGGTGATGGCATCTAACCTTGCTGCTGTGGTATCTAGGGGCTGGGGCTCTCTGGTGCGATGAATTCTTTGTAGCCTAGTTACTTTGCACCTTTAACAGTGATTGGCACCACTTCATCAGAGGAAGAGGTTCTGGCAACAGAGCTCTGATGTTTAAGGAGTAGGATGTCCAACTGGGAGAATTTAGGGTGGCTCTGGTGCTTGGTCATTTAAGTGCTGCCTGGTTGGGTTGATGGTGTGGTTCTGTTTCTTTAGATACTAATGCCTCTGCCAGATAGATAATAGGAAAACCAGCATTTGGAAAATCTTCAGCTTCTGTGGAGTGGATCTTATTGTTGGTTCTTAGCTATGATTATTCCTGGGGCGTGTGGGTCAAACACGGAATTGTAATCTGTGCTACTTTATTAAGTATAAGATATTTGGATCTCATAATTTAGGTGCTGTACCCAGTGTTAACCTAAATTTTTATCTTAAAATTCATTTTCCACTTATTCTAGCCTCAGTAGAAATGCAGACCAGCTATATTTATTAAATTAATGTACCAAAAATATACGTGTACCATAAGGAATTGGTAAATTCTTAGTTTTAAGTATTGATATTTAATTTTCTTTTCTTCTGAAAAGGAACTGTTATGAAGCGGTGACTTTTAAATGTAGTTAAGTGTAAATACTTTTTTTGTTAATTAAAAAGACATACAAAATCTGATTCAAATGTAGACTCATAATTTTCTAATCATGCCTCAGTAGTTTATTTTTTTAAGTTTTTGTTGTGATGGAACACAACTACCATTCATACAAAACTGTTGAATTGCTGTTTGTTTTCACTTTCAGTTTAAAAATCCCCTTATTATGCTGCTTCTGGCTTCTGCAGTCATCAGTGTTTTAATGCATCAGTTTGATGATGCTGTCAGTATCACTGTGGTAAGAAAATATGTATATTTTTAAACTATTGGATAATCGTTTAAAATTAGGATTGGCTTTTATTTTGGAAAATGAATTGAGAAGTGCCTAATGTTTCTTCAGGTTTTTTGTTAATGTCCAAATTCTGCATTTTGTTGCAGTAATTTCAAGTAATATTCAACGGTCTGTGATTGGCACTCATGAGAATTATTTAACAACCTTAATAATTTTACAGATATGGAATATTTTATAATAAATTTCTGGTTAAAATTTTAATTTAGTTTACTTTCTATTGAGAATGTTTTGACTAATTGTGAACTGAAGCCTGATGATTATGAAATTAAAAATATTATCTAACAGTGAACACTCTATATACTATGTAAGATTTTATTCTTTCTGGCTAAGCTGTTCTTGCTTTCATTGAAAGTTTCCTCTTCTTTTTTTTCTTGTCCTATGTTTTATTGTAGTATAAAAATTTATAGCAAGTACAAGCATTGATTAAAGCAGATATGTTTACGCGTAAGAACACAGTAGAAATTAATATAGAGCTGCAGTTCTTGAGCTCTTGCTTGTGGACTCCCAGGTGTCTGTAAGACCCTTTCAGGGAGCATGTAAGGTCAAACTGTTTATGTAATACTCAGACATTATTTTTGCTTTGTATATTTGCATCAGTGGTGAAAGAGCAGTGGCAGGTAAAACTGAGTGTTGACTCAAGTCAGAATAATGGCACCAACCTGTACTAGTGGGCATTGTTTTCTTTCATTGTTTCTCTTGGGAGTGTTTTTCGTAAAGGAGTAAAAATTAATTTCATTAAATCTTGACAGTTGAGTATATACCTTTTGAATATTCTGTGTAATAAAATGGGAAGTATGCATAAAGGACCTACGTATATTGAGGTACAGTGGTTGTTTCAAGGAAGGGTGATTGTGGTGAGCTGAACTAGGCTTTACTAGAAAGAATGAATGATAGACAAACTTGGTTATTAAGACTTGAATAACTGGCATGCTTTTTTTTAGGAAGTGAGTGAAATGATGAAATACTATCACTTCAAGAAAAATAAAGAACATTTATTGCCAGTGATAAAATTCAAGCTTTCAAGTGATAGAATTTTGCAAAATATTTATGAATTACTGTGCGCTAAATAGCTTCCCAATATTTAAGACTTCATTCTAAAGAGATCAGTAGTATTTCAATGAATATCATTTTTTTTTACTATTATGAAATGTGTCAACACTTGAAAGATTTGAATAACCAAGTAAATCAATATTTTCTAAATGACCAGTGTAAGATGTTACAATGTTTTCAGTGATCAGAGATCCATTCAAATTGAAAATAGATCAGTAGATTTTACTATAATTATGAAAAGTTCATTGATACAGCTTAGATTCTATTTGCAAATTACTCTAAGTAACTAACACTTGTCCAATTTGGGTGTAGTAGCTAAGAAGAATATCCACAATCTGAAAAGGCTTTTAAAATACTCCTTCCTTTTCCAACAATATCTGTATGAGATTAGGTTTTCTTCCTATACTTCAGCCTATACTTCAGCCTATACATAGGACAATAGATTAAATGCAGAAGCAAATGTGAGAATCTAGCTTTGTATTAAGGCAGACATCAAAGATAGAAAAACTGAAAACACTTGCACTTTTCTCACAAATTTATTTGGAAAGTGTATTTTTCATAAAAAATGTATGTATTAACATGCAATGGTTTTATTACTTTTTAGATGAATTAATAAGGAGGAATTAAAACTGAGCAATTAAAAAAGTATTAAATTATGGTAAATATGAGTAGGTTATATCCCACATAAAAGCTGGTCCTCAGTTTGTAAGAACAGAAAGGAATCTTGAGATCAAATTTGAGAAGTTGTCCTAGGGGAGGCAAGGCACTGTTGGCTGTCAGTTTTTCCCCTAAGGCAGAATTGTGATTTCTTCCCCAGTTGATCTCAGTGCTTAGTGTCTGGTATCTGGAGACTGCAAATAGAGTTAGAAAAATAAAACATGATTAACAGTTATTTCTGAAGTTACAATTTCAGCTTTAAAAGGTTATTTCTTTGTTTTGTTTAGGCAATACTTATCGTCGTCACGGTTGCCTTTGTTCAGGTGAGTAGGTGGTCTACTTTGTCAGTATGAAAATGGTATTTTAGTTAATTGCTTAAAAAAACTAAGGTGGCTTATGAGAAAATCTTTGGTTATTGGGGGATGGTAATATTGGTCAGAACAATTCATTCTTTGTTTTTGAAATGATTTCAGAAACTTAGTTCTCCAGGGAACTTTGTGGAACTAACTTGACTGCTTTGATTTAGATAGTAGCATGAAGAAAATGTAGTTTTTTATTTGATAAAATTAAAGGTAACTGAAGCAGATGGAAACAAAAAGCACAGTAATAGAAATAAAAGCCAGCAACAGGTTTAAAAATTTTTTTCAATTAAAAAATTGGGCCAGGTTTAAATTCCTCATTTCCTACACAGAAAAACGTTCTGATCTGGATCAAATTTCCAATTCAGCATAGACATTGAAACAGTAAATAAAACATATGATGAGGGAACTCCTTTTAAAAATGAAATGTGAATATCAATATGGAGATAATGTCAGGATTTTTATCGCAAGTGTAGGCATATATAAAAACGTAGGCTTAGTTTTATGTTTATTTAATATCTGATAACTTCATATTTTAGAACAATGTTGGCAGGTCTCATTTTATTAGCTAAAAGTTTTAAAGCATAGTTCATAAGAATAGAAGGATTGGGGCACCTGGCTGGCTCAACTGGGTGACTCTGGATCTCAGGGTTGTGAGTTTGAGCCCCACATTGGGTGTAGAGATTACTCAAAAATAAAAAAAAAAAAAAGACTTCTCGTTTAGGGGAAAATGTTATGTTTGATACTCAAGTTCATGTTGCTTTGACTCTTAAGATTATATTTTAAGTGATTGTGGTTATTTTCACATCTGTGGTTAATTCCTTGGGTATTTCCTGTCATTATCCAGGCTTTCTATGGCAATCTCTAACTAATAAGTTATTAGTTTATAGTAACCCGCTGTAGAAAAGTCTGTTGTAATCAGATTATCTGCAGCAAGTTTGTGAGCTCCATCAGTAGACCATCAGGGATTCTGTTTCCAGGGAATCTTTTTGCTTAGAACAGACAAAAGTTGCACTGGGGCAGGTGGAGCTAGTTAGTCTAGCAGAGGTCCTTCCAGGCTGGTCATCATTCAAGGCAGCTCTTCATTCAGACATTCGGGTGGTACTATCCACTCAACCAGTAACTGGAACCCTCTTGCATCTTTAATAATGCTTGAGAAATACGGAGTGACTTTCTTCAGAGGGATTCCTACAGTATTATTACTATGGATAAGAGGACCTTTGCTTGTTCTGTTGGTGTTTAGAGAGCACCTACCTCAAAAAAACCTACAAAATTGTGATTTTAACATAGTGTGTGATTTTCCACAAAGATTGCATGTTATACACTGTGAATGCAATGGCAGAAACTATCTGCTAAATATCTCTGTGATAGGTTCAGTTGATGGAAAACTCCAGAAAGAATTGAAACATTTATGAAAAGCCCAGTTTCAGATTGGTAGGTCTGGTTTCTTATACATACATGAGCCTTTTACCCAAATGTGCCTTGAAACCAACAAAATATTCTGTATAAACTGCAATTAAAAACCCTCTTTAAAAGATCCTATTTGCTGCTACTTGAACTTATAGTGCTTTGTCAGAAAACTACCAGAACTCTGAAATTGTCAATGATTTGTCTTATTTAATATTTGTGTTTTTATCTGGGTTTTAGGAGGAGAGTGCTTGTATATTTTTATATTTATGTCTACCCTTTTTTCCCTCTCTTTCAAAAATCTCCATTTCTCACCCCATTGTATACCCTCACAGCCATGAAAATAGCTGTTTTATATCGTCATACATTGATGCCACTTTACAGTAAACTTAAAATATAACTTTTAAGTGTTCATTAGAGATGGCTGTCAGGTTTTTAGTGACTTGTTAAAAGGTCATTTTGATACAGAAGTATCTCTGTAGTTGTAGGGAGTGAAGCCTAAGAAGTCTGAGAAGGGAGGTAAAGATTGGGCAGCTTCTATGTCATTTATTACTAGGATCTAGAATTGGTGAGTGTTTTCTAGCCTTCTATGGAATTTTTGGGTAAAACTTCCAAATTCCTTAATATCCTTGTTATGGTTGGGGGAGGTGTATCTTAGAATTTTCATATTATAGATTTGCCTTACTCTCATATTTGTTCCTCTTGCCTAAGTAAATACTCATTTAATTCTAAGTTACTCTTACATAGCTTTGCATTTGCTATTTCAGAAAGTTTGTGATGGGTATGAAATTTTGAATAGTACTAGCACTGCAGTCATTTCAAAACACTCCCCAACTTTCACTCCCACTACTCACCCTCTCCATTTTTAAACTTAGATCAAAAGATTGGTGTATTTAGTGCAGACATGAGACAGAAATAGCAGTGATGTTATGTGAAGCAAGACTGCCCATGGAAACGTGGACTAAGTAGTATGGTGAGATGAAAGATGTCTCTGACCCTCAGCTTTGATTATATACATAGAGAAAGGCTGGATGGAGCATTGCAGACTTGGGGCTCCTGAGAATGTCCTCTTTTGGATAATTCAGGGTGATGGGAAAGGTGTCTGTGAAAGTAGTGCCAGCCACAACTCACTCTTATTTAACAGATGTTCTTTCTAAACAAACATCATAAACCTTTGCAGTAAGCATGTGCTTATATCCTCAAAGCAGATGTTGCTTGCAGTTAATTGTCTTTGACTTCTTTGGTCATTAAACACTAAAAGTAAAATTATCTTAATCATGAGGCTCAATGATTTTAACTTTTAATGACTGAAAATTATATACTCTTTGGACACACTAATGAGTGTTCTTCATTTTCTTATAAATAAACTGACCTTAGGTTTCACATTGAATATTAACATATAAAATTGGGAATATTCAATTGTCAGAATTGTTTGGCTGCTATAATTTAACATTATTTAATAAGGAATAAACTTTCATGTGTTAGGACTATAAGTGCAAGTAAAGGAAAAGATAAGAACTAGGGGAAGTTTTAAAAAAATGAGATTATTATTTACTTAAGTCTAACATGGAATATGTACATAGGAACATACATATTTGCATTTCTTTATAAATGTTTTCTCTTAATATGTTCTGCTTTTTTTTTTTTTTTTAATAAATAGGAATATCGTTCAGAAAAATCTCTTGAAGAACTGAGTAAACTTATGCCACCAGAATGCCATTGGTAAGATCCTTGTTTCTGATATGGATTTCTCATTTTTTTTAAATTGAATTATAATTTGTATACAGTGTTAAAAGAGTTTCAGGCATATAATATAATGGTTCAGCAATTTTATACATTACTCAGTACTCCTCACTGTAAGTATACTCTTAATTCCCTTTATCTGTTTTACCCATACCCTCACCTATCTTCCCTCTGGCAGCCACCAGCTTGTTCTCAGTATTTAAGAATGTTTTTTTGTTTGTCACTTTTGTCTTTTGTTTTGCTTCTTAAATTCCATATTTGAGTGAAGTCATGTGGTGTTTGTCTTCCTCTGAATTATTTCACCTAGCTTTATACCCTCTAGGTCCATCTATGTTGTTGCAAATGGTGAAATACCATTCTTTTTTATGGCTAAGTAATATTCCTGTGTGTGTGTGTGTGTGTGTGTGTGTGTGTGTACGTACACCATATCTTCTTTATCCATTCATCTATGGATGGACACTTGGGTTGCTTCCATATCTTGGCTATTGCAAATAATGCTTCAATAAACATAGGGATGCATTTATCTGTTTGAATTAGTGTTTTCTTTTTCTTTGGGTAAATACCTAGTAGTGGAATTACTGGATCATATGGTAATTCTATTTTTAATTTTTTGAGGAATGTCCATACTGTTTTCCATAGTGGCTGCACCTATTTGCATCCCACCAACAGTGCATGAAGGTTCCTTCTTCTCCATATCCTCACCAACACTTGTTGTTTCTTGTCTTTTTGATTGTAGCCATTCTGATGGATGTAAAGTGATATCTTATTGTGGTTTTGATTTGCATTCCCTGATGATTAGTGATGTTGAACATCTTTTCATGTGTCTGTTGGCCGTCTGTGTGTCTGTCTTGGAAAACTGTCTATTCATGTCCATTTTTAATCAGATTATTTGTTGTGTGTTTTTTTTTTTTTTTGGTGTCACGTTGTAGGAGTTCTTTATATCTTTTGGATATTAACCCCTTTTTGGATATATTATTTCAAATATCTTCTCCATTCAGTAGGTTGCTGGGGGTTTTTTTATGGGTTTTTTTTGTTGTTGTTATGGTTTCTTTTGCTGTGCACAAGCTTTATATTTTTGTGTAGTCCCAATAGTTAATTTTTGCTTTTGTTTTCCTTGCCTGAGGAGGCATGTCTAGAAGAATGTTTCTGTGGCAGATGTCACAGAAATTACCGCCTGTGTTTTCTTCTAGGTATTTTATAGTTTTAGGTCTTTACATTTAGGACTTAATTCATTTTGAGTTTATTTTTGTGTATAGTAAAACAGAGTGGTTTACTTTCATTCTTTTGCATGTAGCTGTCCAGTTTTCCCAATACCATTTATTGAAGAGACTGTCTTTTCCCCATTGTATGTTCTTGCCTCTTTTATTGTAGGTTAAGTGACCATATAAGCGTGGGTTTATTTCTGAGCTCTCTATTCTGTTCCATTGATCTATGTGTCAGTCTTACCATTTGTGTCATCTTCAATTTCTTTCATCAGTGTTTTATAGTTTTTGGAGGAAAGGTCTTTCACCTCTGTGGTTCAATTTATTCCTGGGTATTTCATTCTTTTTGGTGCAATTGTAAATGGGATTGTTTTCTTTTTTTAAGATTTTATTTATTTATTTGAGAGAGAGCACATGAGAGGGGGGAGAGTCAGAGGCAAAAGCAGACTCCCTGCCGAGCAGGGAGCCCGATATGGGACTCGATCCTGGGACTCCAGGATCATGACCTGAGCCGAAGGCATTCGCTTAACCAACTGAGCCACCCAGGTGCCCGGGATTGTTTTCTTAATTTCTCTTTCTGCTTCATTATTATTAGTGCATAGAAATGCAACAGATTTCAGCATATTAATTTGTATCCAGTTACTTTACTGAATTCATTATCAGTTCCAGTAATTTTTAGGTGGAATCTGGACGGTTTTTCTATGTATAGTAACATGTCATCTGCAGATAGTGACAGTTTTATTTCCTCCTTAGCAAATTAGATGCTTTTTCTTGTCTGATTGCTGTGGCAATGCTTTCTAGTACTATGTTGAATAAAAGTGGTGAGAGTGGACATCCTTGCCTTGTTCCTGATCTTAGAGGAAAAGCTCTTTTTCACCATTGAGTATGATGTTAGCTGTGGGTTTCTCTTTTAAGGCCTTTATTATGTTGATGTATGTTCCCTCTAAGCCTCCTTTGTTGAGTTTTTGTCATGAATTGATGTTGTACTTTGTTAAATGATTTTTCTGCATCTGTTGAGATGATCATATAGTTTTTATCCTTTCTCTTGTTAATGTGATGCATCATGTTGATTGATTTGGGAATATTGAACTACCTTTGCATTCCTGAAATAAATCCCACTTGATCATGGTGAATGATGTTTTTAATGTGTTGTTGGATTTGGTTTGCTTATATTTTGTTGAGGATTTTTAGATCTGTCTTCATCAGAGATATTGGCCTGTAGTTTTTGTTTTTTTGTAGTGTGTTAATATGGTTTTGGTGTCAGGGTAATACTGGCCTCGTATAAAGAATTTGGAAGCTTTTCTTTGTCTTCCATTTTTTGGAATTTTTGAGAAGAATAGGTATTAACTCTTCTTTATTTTATAGAATTTTTTTTAAAGATTTTTAAAAAATTTATTTATTTGACAGAGAGAGACAGCGAGAGAGGGAACACAAGCAGGGGGAGTGGGAGAGGGAGAAGGAAGCTTCCCGCTGAGCAGGGAGCCTGATGCGGGGCTCGATCCCGGGACCCTGGGATCATGACCTGAGCCAAAGGCAGATGCTTAATGACTGAGCCACCCAGGCACCCCTTTAACTCTTCTTTAAATGTTTGGTAAAATTCACCTGTGAATCCACCTGGTCCTGGACTTTTACTGGGAATTTTTTGACTACTGTCAATTTTATTGCTAGTAATCAGTCTGTTCAATTTTCTTTCTTCCTGATTCAGTCTTGGAAGGTTATATGTTTCTAGGAATTTATTCATTTCTTCAAAGTTGTCCAATTTGTTGGCATATAATTTGTCTTAATATTCTCTTATAATTCTTTGTATTCCTGTGGTATTGTTTTTTTTCCTACTTCATTTCTGATTTTATTTATTTGAGTCCTCCCTCTTGTTTTCTTGAGGAGTCTGACCAGAGGTTTATCAATTTTGTTGATCTTTTCAGAGAACTGGCTCATAGCTTTATTGATCTGTTCTACTTTTTTTTTAGTCTCCATTTTATTTCTGCTCTAATCTTTATTTTTTTTCCCTTCTATTGGCTTTGGTTTATTCTCCTTCTTCCAGCTTCTTTAGGTGTAAGGTTTATTTGAGACGTTTTTATTTCTTAAAGTAGGCCTGTATTGCTATAAACTTCCCTCTTAGAACAATTATTGCTGTGTCCCAAGGATTTTAGACCATTGATTTTTTTTTAGAAAATCAGCAAGGAAACAGTGACTTTGAGTGACAGATTAGACCAAATTGACCTAACAGATACATTCAGAACATTCCATCCAAAAACAATGGAGTACATATTCTTTTCAAGTGCACATGGAACATTCTTCAGAATAGATCACATATTAGGCCACAAAGCAAGTCCCAATAAATTCAAAAAGATTAAAATTATATCATGTATCTTTTCTGACCACAATGGTATGAAACTGGAAATCAGTCACAAGAAAAAATCTGGAAAGAACACAAATACATGGAAGCTACATGGCATGCTACTAAACAATGAAAATGGGCCAACCAAGAAATCAAAGAGGAAATAAAAAAATACATGGAGACAAATGAAAATGGATTTTCACTCTTAAAAACAGAAATTGAATGTGAGTAGTACACTATACATTGTGGCACCAGATTTGTCTAAACATAAGGTAGAAATCATTAGTCCGACATGAAAAATTGATGTTCTGTTCAGTGTAGCAAGTTGTGATATTAAAACATTTAAGTTCTAATACTGAGATTGTTGAGACATGGATTTATTCAACAGAGTTTTTTTGTGTGTGTGACTATGTGCTAAGCACTGTTGGGGTTGCAGTGATGCACAATCAGACAGGCCCAGATGAATAAGAAGGTTGCTTCAGTTTTCACATTTTACATTTGAATGATAACTGGTCACTGTTTCCAGTGCTTTTTTTGTCATCTGAACATCTTAATTACCAAGAATAGAAAAATAATTGTTTGCTTAGTTTCTTATATTTGACTTAGCTTCTTTGAAGTGGTAATAATACTACAATATATTTTTCCTCAGGTAAGCCCACTAGAAAGAATTTTTTTAAATAAGTGGTGTGGCTCTCTTTTTTCAGCCATGGTTGTTTCTGTTTCATGTTACAGTGTACGTGAAGGAAAATTGGAACATACACTTGCTCGAGACTTGGTTCCAGGTGATACAGTTTGCCTTTCTGTTGGGGACAGAGTTCCTGCTGATTTACGCTTGTTTGAGGTAAGTTTGGTGTTTTAATTTCTTTGGGTTGCTGTAACAAAATACCATAGCCTGGGTCGCTTATAAACAACAGAAAATTATTTCTCATAGTTCTGGAGGCTGGGAAATCCAAGATCAAGGGTCCAGCCCAGTTGCGTTCTGATGAGGGCCCTCTTCTGGTTCATAGCTGGTGCGTTCTCTCTGTCCTCACATGGTGGAAGGGGCTAGGGAGCTCTGAGGTCTCTTTTATAAGAACACTAATTCCATTTGTGAGAGCACCACCCTCATTACCTAACCACATCTGAAAAGTCACACCTAATACCTCATGTTTGAGAGTTAGGATTTCAGTATATAAAGTTTGAGGGGGGATACATATTCAGACCATAGGATTTGGTGATCTGTTTGTGAGAAGTGAAAATACTTGGATATGGACTAAAGGATAGACATTAGTAATTTTAAGAACTAATGCATAGTTGGTTTGGAAACTCTTGGTTTTCAAGTTTAAAATGTAACATATATAAACATGTCTTCTTTTCTTAAAATATATTAATCTTTACCACGGAGTCTTTTGAGGTGTCCATTAGTGAATCAGCTGATCTTTATGGAAAGGGTATGATAGGCCTTGTGGGAGACACAAAGATGATGTAAAGAGTTCTTGTGATCAGGGAACATACTATTTGTGTACATAAATCACTCACCATAAAATAAGATAGAAGCTGGTGAGTGACTAAGAGAAGTACAAAGAATGGAGTGTGAAAATTTAGAGAAAGGAGCATTTACTTCTGATTTCAGTGAAAATCAGATAATGCCTCAGACAGCATGGCTTTGGTGGTGAGAATTGAAAGGTTGAAGGGTAGTATTGGGAGAGATGAGGAAGACCACGAAGCAGCAGTATTCAGATCACTGTGAATGTCCCAGTATATAGTACCGGGCTAGAATATGTTAAGGGTAAAAAATGTGTGGTGGAATCAGATTCAGGGGGGCCTTGGATACAAAGCTCTACCTCAGATTTTATTGGTTAGGAATTAGCTTTGAAGGTCATATGCAGCTGGCAAATGATCTTACCTTAATCTGGCCACAGTGTGTAGAATAGATTGACGGACTAGAAAATGGAGTTAGGCATCTAGTTTAGCATGCCAGTCTCATCTACTTTGGAATTAACAGCCTATTCATTAACACCTATAGAGGTGACAGTCTTTCAATACTTACTGTGTCCCAAAATCTTAGTGTTCATAGGGGTTATGGAAAGCCTAAAGAACCTTTCTGAACTATAATAAGAACAGACTTCATTTAGTCCTGAAGTAATGGCCTTTTTTCCAAATACTTAAAATTTCTCCTTAGGAAGATACCAGATTGCTTTAATTGGTGAGTGGAAATAATTGATAATACAGCAAGTATTGGGAATATTGTTAATTTTGCTTTATTACTTTCTGCCCTTAGTTTATCTTTTTATATCTTTTTTTACTCATTTCCTCTCCTTTCTTTCTATTCCTAATACTTAGTTTATGAGAAAACCTTGGATTATTATTCCTTAGACATTCGGCAGGCCTGTCACTTGATATAAATCATCTTCCCTTTCCCCAGAGGGTCTTAATTTGAATTCATGGAGTTTATGTCATCATTTATTCTGGAGTCCTTCTCTTCCAGTTTAGAAGCAGACCTCCTCAGTGGGGTAGTAAAACGATGGTGTTCCCCATTACTTGAACATTTTGAGCAGTATAATGACATAGAAACTTTAAAACTCCATTTGACTTGGTAAAGTATTTTAGGGTTTTCATTTAAATAAGGGTTAATTGATCTAAGAATTAATTATTTCAGAGTTCATGTGCAAATAGGAAAAGACCAGAGTTCTGGATTAGTATGTATCGTAGCCACTTATCAAATATACTTTGAAGACTTACTGTGAGTTCAGTAAGGGAATTTTTCACCTTTTAAAGCTTGATGTTATAAAAATTGAAAGCATGTACTTTGTGGAGTAATTTGTTATTACTGTTTTTCCCTTACCTGTTAACTTTTCAGACACTTTCACTAACACATGTTTTATTTGGCAGTGATAAGGTTGATTTTCTTCTAGTTAATCCATGTTTATGTATATAGTTGAACATCTTTGATTCCCTCTATCACTTTCTGTCCTGTTCATTTTACCTATCACCTTGGTACCTCAAGCAGACTTTTACAACTTTTATGGTAGATTGAGATAACGTTCCTAAAAGATTTGAACCTTTTGTGCTGCTTCTACTAACCTAAGGCATAATAAAGCTGTTAAGGTCAGTTTCTCTTCTGGACACAGAGGCTACTAGCTTTTGGAATTAGGTTGGCTTATTGGAGTGTTATTTGCAGAATTTGGCTATGGTGATCTTTGGGTGATTTTTTTAAGGCTAGCTGGTCATTTGATGTTCTTGTATGAAATAAGCTCTTCGTTAAGATTTAAAGGAAACTAAGAACTCACATACCTTTGAGATATTATTAATATCTCAAAACAAAGTGTGTCAATTTCACTCTAGAAAAAGCAAAAGTATCTGGACTTTCATGGTGTATTTCTCTTCTTGTGGATGATTAGTCTAAGACCAAGGTTGCCACATTAGCGTTGTCATGCTGCAACTCTAGGGTTCCTGTCATAAATTTTGAAGGTTCAGATTTTAACTATAAAACTTGCCTGGGCATTCAGTTGCATTTTGTCTGCAAGTTCAGTGATATGACTGCTACACAACCTTTATATGGTATTACCTGTTTGTAGGCTGTGTCTTAAGTCAGGTCAGGCTGCCATAATCAAATACCATAGACGGGGTGGGTTGAGTGATTCCTGTCTCTCTTCCACTTCCTATAAAGCCACTAATCCCATTATGAGGGCCTCACCCACACAAGCTCCTCTAACTCTAATTACCTCCGAAGGTAATTACTATCGTATTGGAAATTAAAGCTTCAGCATGAATTTTACTGTGACACAATTCAGTCCGCAGCAGGCTGAGACTGTCATTTGTAAATCCTTTTTAAAGAAGATTAGTATTGATAACTTAAGGAATTCTGTATTTTGTTTTTTTTGCCTGAGTCATTTTCCATAGCCAGGGAATGAACCAGTATGTGTTGGTGGTAGTGACCTTACTGTCACAGGATTTTTTTCTCCATCGGTGTCCGCGGTTTTTGGTCACATTGCTTCAAAGTATGAAGAGGTAGACCAGACAGAGTGGAAGGCCACAAAGCAAGGCTTATTGAGCAATAGCAAAGTGATAATACAAAGCTCCCAAGGAGGGAGGGGATCCGAGAGGGTTGCCACTGGAATTTCTAAGTCTAGGGGTCTTAGAGTCAAAGGAAAAGAGGGTTTCTTTTTTCTATTGAAAATAACTTCTCTTGCTTTAACTTTCTAACTAAGCCTGAAATGTTCCTGAAATGTAGCAAGATTTTTCTTATACTTGAAGTTCTGAATGAGTAATTCCATTGACACTTTATTTTGTGGCTCACATGCTTGTGGGTAGCCTCTATCATTCTTTGAAACTGTCTTCAAGATCTAGACACTGGGTACAATTACCTTCTTTTTTTTTTTTTTTTTAATGTTTTTGATATAATTTTCTAAACGTAGCAAACTTTATTTTTTTATTTTTTAAAGATTTTATTTATTTATTTGACAGAGACACAGCGAGAGAGAGAACACAAGCAGAGGGAGTGGGAGAGGGAGAAGCAGGCTTCCCGCCGAGCAGGTAGCCCCATGCAGGGCTCGATCCCAGGACCCTGGGATCATGACCTGAGCCACAGGCAGACGCTTAACTACTGAGCCGCCCAGGCGCCCCCGTATCAAACTTTTTAAAGAGAACTACCAGTTATATGCCTGAGGGCCAAGAATTAGCCATTTTTATGACCCTAGATTATCAATTGGACCATTTAAACCTGGGCCAAAAGATATCTCCACTAGGAGTGAAAGCCTACTGGGGCCTTGCTCAGAAGTCCAAACTTAAAACAAGCTAATTGGCATTACATAGTGAGCCTTTTTTTTTTTTTTTTAAAGATTTTATTTATTTATTTGAGACAGAATGAGAGAGAGCACATGAGAGGGGGGAGGGTCAGAGGGAGAAGCAGGCTC